CCAGGGGGCAGATGCTCATTGCAGGCACTTCCCCTTGGTGGTCAGTGCGCTCCCACAGTGGGAGCGCTATTCAGCTGACAGGGATGAGCGGCTGCTCCCGCAGTGGGAGCAGTCATTAGCAGGCCCAGGATGAGGCTGAGTCTCTGCACATATCAAATACCTGAGACAATCCAGATTCTGCCTGACCCATCAGCTGATGCAGGCCCTCTAACGTGTGTTCTAGAAAGAGCGCAGGGGGCTGGCATAGGCAGATGGCAAGAGGAGATGTGACTGTGGACTCCACGGGGAGGCTGTCCTGATGGCTGAGGATCCTGGAGCACAGATGCTCTGAACATTCCTGATGGTGTCACTGACCTGACATCACACATAAAGGACATTCACTGAGTGGCTCTGGGGTACAAAGCTTTCTGCCAGGTTCCTCCAGGACACAGAACACACTTTTACCCAAGACATTACCCCAAAATATCAGCTCAGACTAATTTCCTCATTCAGCAGTCCTCGGGGGGACAGGGGAAGGGGACGAGGGGAGGGGGGAGGAGTGTTGGGGGGAGGGAGATATCCACAGCCACTCAGGGATGAGTGCCAGTCCCACAGAGTATAATCCCCGGAGGCCACACACACCCACATGCACGAATCCGTGCACCAAGCCTCAAGACTATTGTGAAGAAAAAACATCTCACTGTGTCATTTAATTAGTAACACATACAAAACATCATATGATTATGTGTCAAAATAATTAGACATAGGCTTAAACCCAGACTTTAAAAGAAAGAACTTATAAAAGAAGAGATGAGGTTGGGAACATTTCAGGATTTAGAAAGAATCTAGTCTAGCCAAAACCAGTTTGGCTCAGTGGATAGAGTGTCAGCCTGCGGACTGAAAGGTCCCAGGTTCGATTCCAGTCAAGGGCATGTACCTTGGTTACGGGCACATCCTCAGGAGGGGGTGTGCAGGAGGCAGCTGATTGATGTCTCTCTCTCATCGATGTTTCTGACTCTCTATCCCTCTCTTCCTCTCTGTAAAAAAATCAATAAAAATATATTAAAAAAAAAAAATCTAGTCTATCCACAGTTCACTCACTCTTCTAAACATACCATATACCAATATAAGCTCTCAGAAATTACTAGAATTTGCCATTTGTTTATTGCTTAGTATACCCGGTGGAGTAAAAGTAGGTTCAGTTGTTAATACTCAAAACAGAGTTTATTCTGTTATTATTTATTAACTAGAGGCCCAGTGCACGAAATTCGTGCATGGTGGGGAGGTATCCTTCAGCCTAGCCTGCACCCTCTCTAATCTGGGAACCCTCAAGGGATGTCTGACTGCTCATTTAGGCCTGATCACAATCCAGGACTGCTGGCTCCCAACTGCTCGCCTGCATGCTTTCCTGATTGCCTCTAACTGCTTCTGCCTGACAGCCTGATCACCCCCTAACCACTCCCATGCCAGCCTGATTGATGTCTATCTGCTCCCCTGATGGCCTGTTTGCCCCCAACTTCCCGCCTCTTCCAGCCTGGTCACCCCTAACTGCCCTCCCCTGCAGGGTTGATTGCCCCCAATTGCCCTCCCTTGCAGGCCTAGTCCCTCCCAACTGCCCTCCCCTGCTGCCACCTTGTGTCCACATGGGGGCAGGATCTTTGACCACATGGGGGCGGCCATATTGTGTGTTGCAGTGATGGTCAATCTGCATATTACTCTTTTATTAGATAGGACAGAGGCCTGGTGCACAGATGCAGGCTGGCTGGTTTGCCCTGAAGGTGTCCTGGATCAGGGTGGGGGGTTCCCTTGGGGCATGGAGTGGCTTGGGCAAGGGGCCTGTGTTGGTTTGCAGGCCAGCCACCCCCTCCCCCCCACCCAAGTTGAGGCCCTGGTATCTGGGGTTTATTTATCTTCTACAATTGAAACTTTGTAGCCTAGAGCAGAGCCAAGCCTCCTGCTCGCTCCATGGCAGCAGCCATTTCTGTTGAAATTTATATATTTTCTATAATTGAAACTTTGTAGCCTGGAGTGGAGGCCTTGGCGGGCCAGAGCTGCAGAAGCTTGGATTCCTCCATTGCCTGGTGCAACCCTAGCCTCCTGCTCTTCCAGCTCCATGGCTGCCACCATTTCTGTTAGAATTTATTTACCTTCTATAATTGAAACTTTGTACCCCTGAATGGAGGCCTGGGCCTGCAAGGATGTTTGGAAAGCTTGGCTTTCTCCATTGCTAGGGGAACCCAAGCCTCCTTCCTGCTCTCTGTGGCTGTGACCATTTTGGTTGCGGTTAATTTGCATACTCACTCTGATTGGCTATTGGGCATGGCTGTTGGGTGTGGTTTGTGGGTGTAGCGAAGTGATGGCTAATTTGCATATTAGTTATTAGATAGGATTATTGTATTCCTTATAAACAACTGTAAACCTATTTAAAAAAATATATTTTATTGATTTTGTACAGAGAGGAAGGGAGAGAGTTAGAAACATCGATGAGAGAGAGTGATCGATCAGCTGCCTTTTGCACACTCCCTACTGGGGATATGCCTACAACCAAGGTACATGCCCTTGACCAGAATTGAACCCAGAACCCTTCAGTCCCCAAGCCGACGCTCTATCCATTGAGCCAAACCAGATTTGGCTGTAAACCTACTTTTGCCCCACCCTGTGTATTACGAATTTGGTAATATTATATGTATAATCTAATCATTACAACAGATAGCTACTATTTCAACACACCTGGAACTAAAAACTATGTATAGGAATTAATAATGAAGGTAGGCAAGGGCCACATTGCAGATGGTTTTAATGCCTAATTAATCTGAATTTTATACAGTGGCTACATACATGTATTTTGCAGGGAGAGAGATTAGAAATGTTTATTAACAGTATCGCCCAGAAGCAACATTCAGTGTGGCTTTATAGGTTGGGTGTCACCTGTGCACTGAAAGGTTGCTGGTTTGATTCCTGGTCAGAGCTCATGCATGCTTTGTGGGCTCAATCCCCGGGAGGGGGTATGCAAGAGGCAGCCAGTTCTCCCTCTTGTCATGTGTTTCTCCCTCTCCCTAAAAATTAGTTTTTAAAAATTTAATTTAAAAAAGGTACTGTACCAACGATGATGGTGAGAATATGGCGAAATAGTAGCAATTATACATTGCTGGTGGGAATTTAAAATAGTATACCCACTCTAGAAAAGTTTCTTGTAAAAATAAATATAAAATTAGCATATGACCCACAAACTGCACTCTTGGGGTTTTATCCCAGAGAAATGAAAATTTATATTTATATAAAAATCTGTCCTTGATTGTTCATAGCAAATTTATTCATAATAGCCCCAAACTAGGAATAATACAGATGTCCTACAACAGGTTATAAAGCTGTGCTATATTTATACATGGAATATTACTCAGGAATAAAAAGAAACTATTGATATATATATATATATATATATATATATATATATATATATATCTCCAGCGACTGAATGGTGGAATGACCTGAACTTGTCTAAATCTCAAAGGAATTATACTGAATTAAAAAAAAAAATCAATCCTAGAAAGTTACATGCTCTATGATCCCATTTATATATCATCCTGGAACTGTCAAATTATAAAATGATAAAAAGGAAAACCTATCAGTGGTTGGGTTGCTAGGGATGGGTTATATATGGAAGGGAATGAGGAGAAGGTATTGTTATAAAAGGACAACAGGAAAGATATGTTAGTGACAGATACACAAATCTACATGTGAAAAATTGCATAGAACGAAATACACACACACAAATGAATATAAGTAAAACTGGGGAAATCTAAATAAGAATCTGTGGATCACATTAATATCAACACCCTTATTGCAATATTACTCCATACTTTTAGATGCTATTTTTGTGGGAAACTTGGCAAAGAGATCTCTGCATTATCTCACAATGGCGTGTTAACCTGCAATTATCTCAAATTTAAATGATTTTTTTAAGAAAGTTCATTGCAATCCTACTTAATAGAGTAATATGCAAATTAACCATCACTCCACTACACCCACAACCCATGCCCACCAGCCAATCAGAGTGAGTAGGCAAATTAACCCAACAAAGATGGCGATTAATCTGCATTCGTGGAGGGAGGGAGGAGTGAAGACTGAAGACAGAATAGAAGGAAGAGGGGAGCTTAAGTGGAAAGCAAGGCCGCTGTGGCATCGCGTGCTGGGCGGGGCGGGGCGAGGCGCACAGCAGCAGTGCAAGCAAGGCACTGGAGGAGGAGGAGGAGGAGGAGGAGGAGGAGGAGGTGGAGGTGGCGGTGGCGGTGGCGGCGGCAGCGGAGGCAAGAGGCAGTGGGGGCAGCGGGCGTGGCTGGTAGGGTGGGCAAGGTGGGACACACAGCAGTGGTAGCAGTGCTTGGGGCTGCTGAGACAGTGGACCACCCACCCTGCCCTGCCCAGCCCAGCAGGAGAAATGGGGGGATGGGAGAGGTGGGGGTGGTGGGAGGGAAGTCTTGCAGGAATATTCCTACAACTGGTCGCTAGTAATCTAATAAGAAGTTATGGCAATCTCAAGTAAATCTGTGACAATAAAATGAAAACATATTTTATAGCAGAATAAAGATGAGCTATGTGGGACAAATAGCAATAGCATGTAGCTTTGGACCACAGTAGCTCCTTCTTCAAAATATATTTTGGGAAGTAAAATCTACCACCTATGAGGAAAAACATGTCTTTCCTAATGAGCAGGTACAAACATGATTTGTATGAATTACTTTTAGAATCTCACAGGAATCTCCTTAAAGACCACATTCTTTATATAATATTATTGACACTTTGGATTGTATAATCTGTTTTTGTGGAGCATCACTTATTATAGGAGATTTAGCAGCATTGCTTGCCTCTACCCAATAGATACTACCATGTTTCCCCGAAAATAAGACATCCTATGAAAAATAAGACCTACTTACAGGTTTCCTTCTGAGTGAAATATAAGGCATCCCCCGAAAATAAGGCCCCCCTAGGCTAAACATGAGAGATTTGGTCCACTGATTCTGAAAGAAATGGAGTCACAAGAAATTCACCAGGAAATTCAGGAATTGGATTATTATGATGATGTTCCAGAAGATGATGACATGATTGTCATTGAATAAATGAGTAAATTCTTGATACTGTAGGATTCACAGTTTGTCTGGTGTGTGTTGACAACTACCGTACTACCGTACCGTATACAGGTAATAAATTTCCTTTATTTTCATTTAACAATAAATGTGTACCGTATTCTTCTTCATGGAAAAATAAGACATCCCCTGAAAATAAGACCTAGCGCATCTTTGGGAGCAAAAATTAATATAAGACACTGTCTTATTTTCGGGGAAACAGGATAGCAGCAATTCCCCATTTCAGTTATAACAGCCAAAAATGTCTCCAGACATTGCCAGATGATCCCTGGAGGGCAAATTTGACCTAGTTGAAAACCACTCTGCTAGGCTAAAAAAAGCAAGGTTGACCAAGAATTCAAGTTTAGAAGATGGCCACAGACTTATTTTGGAAAACTCAAAATTTTAACTTTAAAAATAGGTCAATACAGAACTCAAGATTGAGAAACGCTACTGTAGGGTACACAAAAATGAATGATAATCATTAACTGCCCCCCAAAGGCTTACAATGAAGTAAGAAAAACAAAACATCCTGTATAATAAAAGCCTAATGTGCAAACTTTCCCTTCAGGCAGCTGTTCAACTGGGAGTTCGACAGCTCACTATGACATTTGCGTGGAACAGGAGTGCTGACAATGGAACAGGAGTGGAACAGGAGTGCTGGCAATGCAGTGCTGGGAGCAGTGGAGATGCTGCAGGCCCTAATGGGCCCTGATGAAAGCAGGACTGCAGCAGGATCGCAGAGCAGGTGAGTGGGTGGTGCCAGGCCAAGATGGGTGCAAGAGGGGGCCCAATTGCATATGGTGACCAGTGGCAGTAGCGGGAGGGGGGGGGTGTCCAGCCCTGACCAATCGTCCTGCAGACAGCAACCAACCAGCAACCAGCGGCAGCAGAGGGGGAGGAGGAGGGGGAGAGTGATGGAAAGGGAAAAGGGGGGGAAGGGGAGGGGGAGAGGGAAACATGTGAGAGAGACCCTTTGATTGGTGGCTTCCTGCTTTTATGGGGCTGGGGAACATGCAACCAAGGTATATACTCGTCTGGGAATTGAACCTGGGACTCTCTGGTCCACATGACAACACTCTAAACACTGAACAAATAGGCCAGGCTAGTTAACCCCCTTTAAAAAAAAGTCTATAAAAGCTATAGATGATAGATGGAAATCAAAACACACTTTGAAAATCAGGGATGTTGTGAAGGGTCTTTCACACCTTTAAGCCAAGCATGTCAAACTTGTGGCCCAGCCAACATAACAGTATGTAAAAAACATGTTAATAAAAACTTCATAACTAAGTTTTTACAGTATCCTGTTATACATATAACTAAAGGATCAGTGCACGGCATAGGCGGGGTCCTTTGGCCTGGCCTGTGCCCTCTTGCAATCTGGAACCCATCAGGGGGTGTTGGAAAGCCGGTTTCCATGCACCAGTTTGATTTTGGCCCAATCCCCACAGGCCAGGCTGAGGGACCCCACTGTGCACAGGGCCACTAGTATGCATATAAAATCTTTGGTTAATTTCTTCCTGCCCTTCCCCCTACCCCCTGAGATTCACTGGTCTGTTCCATGATTCCATGCCTGTGGTTTCCACTCCTGCGTTGAGCTTCTGCCCCCCGGTTATCAGTGTTTATCATAGCTATTATTAATAACGAACTACAACGTTCGCTAATGACTGATTACTATAACCGTGTTGCATTCATTTTCCTTACATGCCTTATGCACAGGTGCACCATTTCTCTCCACTAATACTAGCAGCTAATATTTTAGCAACTGATTGCCACATCTGACTTGCTTGGTGTATGCAACAGAAAATATTTCACTTTCGGATAACAAGAAAAATAGGTTTATTTGCATTATGCTTATTAGTTTGGGTAGTTATTCAGTGTCTGCTAAGTTAATGTTCAAGAAAAAATACTAATTTTTATTAAAACATTGTTTTATGTTAATGATTACGGTACTCATTTATTTTATTTCAGCCCTTTGTATTCAGCTTGTCTCTATCAAAATAAACCTATGTTTCTATGAAAATTGAAGCTTTTGTTTTATTGTGGCCCCCCAAAACTTAAAACTTGTTTATTTGGCCTGTGTTTGCCTTTGAGTTTGACATGCTTGCTTTAAGTTAACATTAGGTGAAAAAAGTGAAGAGAAAATAAATGTGGTCTGGATTCTTCTATACACTAACACATAAACTAGTTCTAGCATTAATTTAATTCTAAGACAGCATATTCCTATTAAGCATTTCAACACATATCATCTAACTGGTAGGTATTCTATTATTGCCATTAAAACTCTACAAACAAACAAACAAACAAACAATGCACCTGGAATCACCTGAAAAGGAGCCTAGCAAAACACCTAGCTATTCAAGTGAATAATGGGGAGAATTCTTCCCAACTTTCCTAAATATATATTTTAAAAGTGTATTCAAATTAAAGTAAGTTTTATATTATACCCAGCATTTCATTCTTAAAACTATTGCTTCTCCCTTTGCTTCCCATCTTATCTTTTAGGTACTTTCTGTTACTCTAATGGCTGCCAATCAGAGCATCAGTGAAGAATGAAGAAAAATTTCAGTGTGTCTTCCTTCTCCCTACCATCAACAGAGTTTCTTCTTATGTTGGAATCCACAGATTTAACAAATACATGAAATCCTTAAAATACTAATAAAATTTTGTGCACGTGCATTTTTTCCCAGGGAAAATACCCAAACCTATGCTGAGATTTTTAAAGGCTAACAACAATTTCAAAAAAGATCAAAACAAACACTCTATACAAAGTATCGATATGCAAAGTATATTTTCTATTTGAACAAAGTTAGATAAAATCACAAGGTCACTTTGGTCATACCCTTTTGTTTTGCTCTAAGAATTGGAAATATGCCCTCTCTGGTTTGGCTCCGTGGATAGAGCGTTGGCCTGTAGACTGAAGCGTCATGGGTTCGATTCAGATCAAGGGTTCACGCCCAGATTGTGGGCTCAACCCCCAGAAGAGGGCGTGCAGAGGGCAGCCAATCAATGATTCTCTTTCATCACTGATGTTTCTCTCTCTCCATCTCCCTTCCTCTCTAAAATTAATAAAAATTTATTTTTAAAAAAATTGGAAATATTAAAAATTACTGCTTTAAAAAGCAGTGCTTCTACTGGAGTTTCTCTTTATACAGTCATAGAATAAGCCTTATTTACTTGAGGACTCTTTCACAATACTGAAATGAAAACATTACAGAGCTAGAAATCATAAAGCTAATTATAAAACCAAAAATAATTATTACAAAATTATAAAAATAAGTCTTCTTGGATTGAGTGGGAAAATATGTAGTATACCAAATATAATAGCACATAAAATTGACAACCCTATACACTTTCCTATAAGTTTTACAATAATAACAATTGTCATTTCCATTGCGGGCACAACCCTAGTAGGGGGTATGCAGGAGGCAGCCGATCAATGTTTATTTCTCATTGATGTTTCTAACTCTCTATCCCTCTCCCTTCCTCTATGTGAAAGATCAATAAAATATATATTTTTAAAAATAAAAAAATGTTTAATTTTCAATAAAATCAATTTTACTAGACTGAATTTGAGAGCAGAATGAATAAATAAGTTATCCATGTAACCTTAGCTTCACAGTGATTCCGTATAGCGGGCATTCAGTAAGATGTTTGATGAATTGAGTTTCCTTGAATCAAAATAAATTCTAATTACTTAAACAAACACATAAACAACTCTTTAATTACAACTACAAACACAAAGCCATATACTCACACTGACTTCAACTGATCACAATATAATACACTGTGCTAGACTATAGAGATCAATTATGAACAAAATATATACCTTGCCTATAGTAGATATTGCGATTTCCATCCTTTACAAAATTAATCCCAATTGGGGGAAAGCCAAAATTCACCCAGAGCCCTAGGAATAAAGGCTTGGGCTTACACTCAGTAGCGTAATTCTATTCCTCTGGTCAGAATTTACTGGTTAGGAATGGATGGATACAGGACCCAACTCTAGGCAAAAGATGCTAGTTGAGGGGTCTGGGAAAGCAGCTTTCTCATTCTTCTGAACATACTTCCTTTACAAAAGTAATTCTCACTTCCACCAACCCCTGAAGGAAATGCTTGCAGGTAATAATGGATTATAATGAAGACCCTGTATCAACTGCCAAGAAAATCTAACCAACATATTCCCCAAAAATAAGAAAAGAAAATCTGAAACTTTCAAGAAGCTCAAGATTTTGTAAAACGATCTTGTTTACTAAACAAGTACAAGCCTACCTGATCTGTATTGGATCTATAAGTATTACTATTTCTACAGTAAGCCATTTAGCAGACAATTTAAAAATATATATATTTTATTGATTTTTTTCACAGAGAGGAAGAGAGAGGGATAAAAACATCGATGAGAGAGAATCATCCATCAGCTGCCTCTTGCACACCTCCTACTGGGGATGTACCCGCAACCAAGATACGTGCCCTTAACCGGAATCGAACCCGGGACCCTTAAGTCCGCAGGCTGATGCTCTATCCACTGAGCCAAACCGGTTTCGCTAGCAATTTTTATTTAGTCTTAGTTGAAATTCTTTCAAGAAACTAGTTTCTCTCAGATGTGAACAACAAATTATCTGCCAAGAGGTTAAGTGATATTTATTATAAATGAAAAGTACTTATAATCTATAACTTATGCATTTTGATACAAACAACAGCGCAATACCAAAATGTTTTCCTATATTTTATTATTTTCATATCTAAATTAACACTTTATGGTTCAAGAGAAAATTCTGGCCACCACTGCTGGGTTAACAGTATTTTAAAAAGGCATTTTACTTAATATAAGACTGAGGTTTTAGAAGTCAAATAATTCTAAACCTAAGATTTTACTACATTCTAAATGACTACCATATTAGTCATTTCACTATTTACGATATCAATTCACTATTTACTAACATTAAATAGTCAGACACTGCATGTTTTAATTACTGTTACTCAATAATTAATAACTGGGACTCAATATGTACAAATTTGCTGGAGGCAAAGACCAGTGGTAGTGTGTGTGTGTGTGTGTGTGTGTGTGTGTGTATATATATACTAGAAGGCTAATGGACTTTGATATTCAGCAGGGCTGAAAATCAGCATTGTATTACCCTGCTGTTGGCTGAATGGTTGAAGGCAATCCCTTAACCTGATAATCCTTTTTTTTTTTTTTTACCAAACTTTACCATCTATATGTCAGTTTGTTTTACTAAAAGGCAAATGTGTACTCTAGTAAATAAAAAGCATAGTTCCAATTTCTAGCATAATTCCAAGAAAAGTATTACACAGATGCTCCTCAACTTATGAGGTATATCCAAATAAGCCTATCATGAGTTGAAAATGTCATGCAAGTCAAAAATGTATTTAATATACCTAATCTACTGAACATCAGAGTTTAGCCCAGCTTTCCTTAAACATGCTCAGAACACAGTTATCTACAAAATGCTGGCAGTATAGTACACTGCAGAGTATCATTCGTTTAACCTTATGATGGCATGCCTGAATGGGAATAGCGGCTCGCTGCC